ATATATACACACACACACAATGGTGTAAATGAAGAACAACAATTAAAAGCAACAAAGAATAAAGCAGATTAAAATGTGTTTAAAATTAATTAAAATACACAAACAATGCAATCTATTTAAATTAAATTAAATTGTAAAAAAAAAATAATAATGTTTGACCCAATGTTGAGTTAGAAACAATCTAGCATTTTTTTAAAGTGAAGCTCCAGGGTTCAAGCTCAGTCATCGCAAAAACATCACTTATGAACCTTTTAATCCCCCAAATAACCAAATCACTATTATTCTACTATGTAGACTATTAAATGTGTAAAAAGAGTCATCTCCTAACCCATCCAAACCAATCTAAAGTGGACAAACGCAAGTAAAATTGGCTCACGTTTGGCTGATGTTTTCTCTTTGGAAATCTTCACAGTGCTGCACCTGTAAAACACACTGCTTTGCATAAAAAAAAGCTTTTCTCTCTTTTTTTTGCAAAGTGTTATTCATAATGCAGAAATGCACAACTGTAGTTTAAGATGCACAGTCTTAATCATTTATTTTTATTTAAAAATAATTATATATATATATATATATATATATATATATATATATATATATATATATATATATATATATATATATATATATATATATATATATATATATATATATATATATATATATATATATATATATATATATATATATATATATATATATATATATATATATATATATATATATATATATATATATATATATATATATATATATATATATATGTATATATATATATATATATATATATATATATATATATATATATATATATATATATATATATATATATATATATATATATATATATATATATATATATATATATATATATATATATATATATATACATATATATACATATATATAAGATACATGCATCTCTGTTAAAACAACAGGGGGGCGGTCAAAAGAAACTGACTGTAAAGACAGACAGATAAACGGAAAAGTAGAAGGTTTACAGAACTACGTCATAACATTAAAATCATTCAATATTTTTAAACAAATTATTTTATAAATTATTTTAATAATTATAAGGATTTTTATAACCAGGGCAAAGCAGTGGCGCAGTAGGTAGTGCTGTCGCCTCACAGCAAGAAGGTCACTGGGTCGCTGGTTTGAACCTCGGCTCAGTTGGTGTTTCTGTGTGGAGTTTGAATGTTCTCCCTGCGTTTGTGTGGGTTTACTCCGGGTGGCTCCGGTTTCCCCCACAGTCCAAACACATGTGGTACAGGGGAATTGGGTTGGCTAAATTGGCCATAGTGTATGTATGTGTGCGCATGAGTGTGTATGGGTGTTTCCCAGTGATGGGTTGCAGCTGGAAGGGCATCTGCTGCGTAAAACATATGCTGGATAAGATTTATATTTACACAGTAATATTTCCATTTACCTCAACTTCATTAATTTTTCTTTTCAGTTTAGTCCCTTTATTGATCCGGGGTCGCCAC